GGTCCCATTTGATTGCAAAAGTGGCTAGTTAGAGAGTAATATCTCCTAAAACTTGCGTCCCCGTTGAGGTGTCGCTCACCAATTTGGACATGATGACTAAAACGCTGTGGGCAGGTTGGACGAGATTCCCTTGGCTGCCTGTGGCTTCAAAGTTTTTGTCTTGCACCTCCAACTGCTGGATTATCTCCCATGCTTTCCGTCCCCAGCTTTTCAACTGTACCGACAAGATTTTTGCCGACAAATGGAGCGTGTGCAGTGATTCAGTCCATTAGTTGTTTATCCAGCCGCTCTTTGGATAGTTTTTGTGGACGGGGGAGACAGCAGCTCTGACTTTTATGTTATGTGTTAACATCATACCTATGTGTGACTAACTGGAGTTTTAGATACAAGAGAAAAGAGGAATTCAAACTCTTAAAATCGTGTTTTCTTCTATCCCTTGTTCTCCAGGAGCGAAGGCGACTGCGTGGAAGGTATGGCCGAGATCTTCGACATGCTGCTGGCCACCGCTTCCCGCTTCCGCATGCTCAAACTCAAACCCGAAGAGTTTGTCTGCCTCAAAGCTATCATCTTACTCAACTCTGGTGAGGCAACGTGTGTGTGTGTTTTAGTTGTGAAACACTTTCCAGAGAAACACTGACAGTTAAAAGCAGAAACACTTTCTCTCGAATAAAATTTGAATTCCTCACATTTTTTATCGATACACAACACTTCGTCTCAGGTTTCTGTTCCCAAGTGTAAATATTGAACAGTGTCAAACTACATACACCCACAGAGGTGTAGCTCTGAACCCTACCCAGACACATTAGGGGAACAGAGTGTTCTGGAAAAGGCCTGTACCGTCAATATGCCTGATAACCGTTCCCATGACAACATGAGACTGCAGAGAAGGGCCGTGTTTGTCCCGGAGATTGAGATATTCTATATGGGAAACTGAGTAGACAGAAATACCAGCGGGATGACACTACTGGCACAGCTGCTGGAGCCGGATTAACTTTTGATTGCTCTGTGGGCAAAAAAATGCATCCGTAATTAATGCTTTAAAAGTTGTTTTTCTTTTTAGTTTTTTTTAGTTGAAATCTGTTGCAGGTTGGGTCAGTTTGATCTGTATGAGGTCGTTACTCCCACTGAAAGTTTGAGACGAGAGAGGTCCGTTATGGTTTTTTTCCTCCCGCCAGGTGCCTTCTCTTTCTGCACCGGCACAATGGAGCCGCCCCATGACACCGCAGCGGTGCAGAACATGCTCGACACCATCACCGACGCTCTCATACATCACATCAGCCAATCAGGGTGTTCGGCTCAGCAGCAGCCGAGGCGACAGGCCCAGCTGCTCCTTCTGCTCTCCCACATCAGGCACATGAGGTAAAATTAAATCTAATTAAAATTAATTGTTGTTTTTTGACACATTTAAAAAGTCTTTTGATTTCAACATGTGCTGCTGAGAGTCGTGCTTTAGTAACACAGTGATTCTTTCAGCAGGTAGGAGATACATTCTTTAAAAGGGCCTTTTTTGTGGTAATTGATCGTCTGATTTACAGGTTAGTCGGTTTTTAGTGTGAATCTTTAATAAAAGGCAGGCAGATGCTTTGTCTCATCTCCAGACTCCAGAGTTATTTAGAGTTTATTACAATGTATAAACCACAATAAAACATTTTATTTATAAGCGCTTTT